CTCGGTTCATCGTCCAACATGTACGTAATAAAATCAGGTCCAAACGTTTTAGCCGTTTTTACCCTTTTACTACGTCTCAGTTCTTCATTAGTACCCTCTGATACAGAACCACTAGCAGTTTCATACGTTCTTTTATTAGAACTAGATTCTGCCCTTTCCTTCATAGGAAAAACATTCTCAAAGAATATAGCATTCCTTGACTCAATCGTGGTACCAACAGATACCTCTGGATTTTCTGATTTATGAACCAGAAATCTATATGCTGTACTATTATACGCATATCCAATAAATACACAATCGACCGTCTTTGGCCCGATTCTCATTTGTTTTGGTTCAGGTACTGAAACCTTAGCCAAACACCCCCACACTTTCAGGTATTTATAAGACGGCTTACGATTTTTCTACATTTCGTAAGGAGTCTCATCTTTCCCTTTAGGTGGTATTTTATTCAAGATATGATTTGCTGTCAAAACAGCTTCCTCCCACATGTTCTGTGGTAATCCTGAATTAATCAACATGGCATTCATCATTTCTTTTAAAGTTCGGTTTTTGCGTTCAGCAACACCGTTCGACTGTGGAGAATAGGGGGCTGTCGTTTGATGAATGATGCCTTATTCAGAACATATTTGTTCAGAAGGAGATACATACTCCCCACCCCTATCACTTCGGATTATTTTAATACTTTTGCCGAGTTGATTTTCAACTTCAGTCTTATATATCTTAAATGCTTCCACAGCTTCATCTTTGCTTCTTAACAGATATAAGTAGCAAAACCTTGTGCAATCATCGATAAAAGTTACAAAATACTTTTTACCGGTTCTTGTTTGCACACTTTTCATATCACATACATCAGTATGGATCAAGTCTAATGGTTCAGTACTCCTTTCCACCGAGTGAAAAGGTAACTTAGCCATTTTTGCTTCAATACAAATTTTACATTTTGTATTTGTCTCAACTTTAGAATTAGGAATTAATTCTAATTTCATCCACCGTTTATTTGCATTTAGATTTACATGTCCCAATCTAATATGCCATAAATCAGAGTACTCAACAGTATAAACAGAAATAGGCTTTTTATTATCAACGGTTACACGGCTCACTGCCATTACATTCATTTTGAACAATCCCTTGTCGAGATAACCAAGACCAAGGAATTTTCCATATTTGCTAAGAATAAACTTCTTAGCATCAAACACCAGCCTGAATCCATGCTCAACAAGAAGTGATCCAGAGACCAAATTATTGCGGATGTCTGGGACATGTAGAACATCCTTCAGCTTCAACTCCCTTCCAGAAGTGAGCTTCAGCACCACCGTGCCAACTCCAGCCACATCAGACGTGGAGGAGTTTCCCATGTATTGTTTCCGACCCGTAGCAGGAGTGTATTCAGAGAACACCTCCTTGTCGGAACACACATGACGAGTGGCACCAGTATCAATGTACCACTCCCTTGGGTTATCCACCAAATTGGCTTCAAACACCACAGCCGACATATCAAAGTCGGTCAATTCACCCGGCACAGGGCCGTGTTCAGCAACAAGGGCACTCGGTTGCCCTTTATTTGGCCCAGCTTTCTTTGGCCTCTTGCAGTCTTTCGCCATATGTTTTGGCTTTCCACAGTTGTAAAAAGTTCCAGTGAATTTCCAAACCTTGGCGGGCTGCTTCCCTTTGTTAAGGGGCTTCCTTTTGCTCGAATTTCCTTGATCCAGCAAGTTCGCACGAGCCTCCATTATCGGGCTTTTGCCCGACGAATTACGGTTGTCCTCCTCAATACAAAGACGAACAACCAGGTCTTCAAGACTCATCTCCTTTCTCTTGTGTTTGAGATAGTTCTTGAAGTCCTTCCAGCCTGGCGGCAGCTTCTCGATCACAGCCGCTACTTGGAATGACTCGCTAAAAGTCATCCCTTCAGAATGGATATCGTGCAAGATCAGCTGGAACTCTTGCACTTGTGACACGAAAATCTTCGTGTCAACCATCTTGAAGTCGAGAAATTTGCCGACGACGAATTTCTTCGCCCCGGCATCCTCCGTCTTGTACTTCTTCTCCAAGGTAGACCAAAGTTCCTTGGCAGAACCAACAGAGCTGTACACATTGTACAACTCGTTACTAAGTCCATTAAGGACATAGTTCCGGCAAAGGTAGTCACCTTGCCCCCAAGCATCATAGGCATCGCGTAGTTCAACATCTGTCTCATTTTCAGAAATGACCGGAGGGTCGTCCTTCAGGTATTTCACCAAACCCAAAGTGGTCTAGTAAAAATGCATCTTCTGTTGCCATCTCTTAAAGTCAAGCCCGTTGAATTTTTTGGGCTTTTCAGCTGTAGGAACATGGACAACAGCTACATGATTGATCGGATGCTGAGAGCTGGAACCTGCTCCGATGGATGCCATCAGTTCAGTCGGAATAAATATTCTTCTTGCGATTGTTGGATATTTGGTGTAAAATTACACGGGAATCTTACGAACTGATATGTATTTTCAGTTCTTACAAATAATCTAAAAATAGAAAATTACAATTGAACTGAAAAATAAATTACAAAAAAGGGAAAGATTTTATAGCCGAGGCGAGTAAAACTCTTTCCGCAAGAAGAATACGTCCCGTGTGGCAGCTAACGGTTCAGGCATAACTTCCCCAAAGATACAACGACAAACGTCTCTAAATCTGTAGCACACCAGATTTACGAGCTCCGGCGAACGGGAACGGAGTCGAGAATTGAGCACTTAAAAATAAAATGAATATCTTAAAACAAATAAAAATATCACTTGTTTCTCTCTTTTAATATTTTTATATCCGATATTTGGACATAAATCTATCTTTTATTTCCTTTCTCTTTTCGTTGCTTTCCTTTCTTTTCCTCTATTTTGTGTGTCTTTTCTTCTGCCCGAACACACATATTTATACTAAGATGGAGAGAGCAAATTGATTGTTTTATATGCTCAATTTGGCTATTGACATAGTGGAATTGGCAGATTGCCATCAAATGGCACACTATTGAAGAAAGAATCTTGATTTGTTTTTTTTTTTTAAATTACAATTGGGGGCGGCTGCATGTGGCACCGCCCCCTACACTTTTTTTTAACAAAACTTATATTCATTCATCAAAATGAAATACATAAAGATTGTTTCATGAATAAGATGTTCTATCAAAAAGAGAAAAGTCAAATAAAGTGTACTGAATTAAACGAACTTGCAAATTACTAAAATAAATAAATACGAAAAAACAGCATAAGAGAACATTCATTAACTTCTAAGAACTCTTTAACTTCATCCAAGACTCTTCTCTTCAAACTTGATGATAAGAAAAGAAAAAACCAAAATGAAAGAGTAAAGTCAGCTTTATTGAAAGCAACTAATGTTTACTTTCAATATAATTCATTAAACTAGCTACTCAACAACCTTATAACACCTAAAAACTTGCTTCAAATCTGACTTTAACACTTGCTGGTTATTGATCTATAAAAGATTTGGATTCATAACTTAGAAGGCTAATAGATTTAGTTTGTAGAGTAATTGGTCAAGAATCCATAGTGACATCTCAATTGAATAGAAAACAGAACAAGTCCCCAAATTTCCCTGTGATTCAGATTTCTACAAGGTGGAGTGTTCCATGGCCTAATCTTTTCTAAACAATTATATTTCAACATTACAAAAGTGCCAACAAAATGCATACACAACAAATTGAAGACAAAATAAAAGTTCATGTAAGAGACATAGTAAAGTGAATAATACAGTAGATATCAATATTAGCATACTCATTATTATCAAGCATTTTAGTGCAGGAACCATATGTAAAAACTACAGCAAAATGGCCCCATTTCGAAAGCCTTATCTCTAGTTCTCAGCGATGATAAGCTTTACCGCCTAATAGCATTTTGACACTTCACCGATTAGTACGCAAGAGTATGTCTGCATTTTACAAGATTACCAACTAACTACTTGATCGTCCTCCTCCTCATTCGGATTTTAGTTTCAAGTTTATTCAATGATTCAATAGGGTAAATTTTATGAGAAATCATAAGTCCCTGAACACCATTAAGAACTAAAATGAAGACTAAAGACTAATATGAGATTTATCAGCTAGTACAACCAAGTCTCTTCTCGAGAATGCTTATTATATTTTATTGCTAACTAGATCCAATGTGCCTTGAAACCTTGGGAGTTGCTGAGGGGATATTGGGGAAGGCAATGATAACATCGTCACATGCTCCACTTTTGATGCACTAGTTATACAAAAAAACTAGCTTGGCTACCTTGGTGATTCTAAAGGGGATCAAAACATCTTAATTTCTTGAGGAGATAGATTGAGGAGAACATGATGTATTGTTTTACACATTATTCTACAAGTACTTAAATTATATAGCGGTTAAAATACTCTTTCCTATCCGAACTATCACGGTTTTGGCGCATCACCATATAAACTATTTTTTTTAACAAACCACCGTATGAACTATACGGGTTTTTCAATGTGCCCCCTAAACCGGATATAAAAGTGGTTTAGGGGGCAAATTGACAAACCCGTGATAGTTCATATGGTGGTTTGTAAATGTATTTAGGGGGCACATATGGTGACTAAACAGCTTTTTCAGTCAAAACCACTTTTATATCTGGTTTAGGGGGCACATTGACAAACCCGTATAGTTCATATGGTGGTTTGTAAACAAAAAAATAGTTTATATGGTGATGCGCCAAAACCGTGATAGTTAGGATGGGAAAAAATATTTTACCCTTATATAGCAGACAAACTAAACTATTTAAATACACCAGACTTAACCAAATAATAAGAGCATATATAACTATAAATATTGAATTCTTGAGAAATATTGGTAAAAATACTCACATTATTTGTCGGAATCTGAGCAAATTGACTCATCTTCTAAAGGAGCGCAGGAATTTCACTGAATTGAGACTCTAAAGACTCTAAAACGTGAAGCCATTTCTTTGTTCTCTCTCATTAGAGTCTCCATGCATTCCTTGTCTTTGTTAGCTTGCCTTCTCAGTTATTCGTTCTCCTCTGCTAGTTCTTGATTAACATTTTCCCCTCTTTTAGAAGGAGGTTTCAGGCCATCCCCACAACCACGTAAACGACTCGATTTCTCTGGTCCGAGCACCTTTATGAAGGCTTCATCTTCGCTAACAACATCTTCTATATCTTCATCTCCTCCGTTTTGAAATTTTAAAATTTCCTCCTGTATATACATGAGTGGTACCAACTTAGTAATCAATAATACAAGTAATAAATCAAATTTAGAACTTACATATACTTCGCGCGAAGCATCATCAACCCAATCATTTTTATTATTGCTAAATCGAGTCTTCTTCCACGTTGATGTCCGTGTTGGCTCTTTACCAGTCTCTATATCACACTGAAATTTAAAATATTAATGTTAATATACAATATATTAATCATATTTTTACACTATACTGAAAAGCCGCATACCTCTTCATAGCAATATTGTGCTATAGACTTAGTCCCACAAGCATGAGACAATTTTAATTTTCTACGGTTTTGCTTATTCCGTTCACTTACTTTCTGCATGAATATATGAAAATCAGAAACAATTAAAAGATTATAAAATAAACAAAACCTGAAAGTTTTTTTTTTTTTTTGTAATCGTGATACCTTGAAATCTTCAGTCTCAAAGTAGTTGATCACGGCCGCCCAATTTTCAGGTGTTATTCCTTTTGGAGGGTGTTCAAGTATGTTTTCATCATCCAGATTATTCTCATAATGCTCATGAAGGTTATGACGAAGACTCTGGTATTGACGATTTAGTTGCTCAAACACAATTTTCTTAACTCCAATGTCCTCTTCTAGATTAAATTTTTGCTGCAATATCATCCACATGAGAAAATGTTAGCATAATGATGCCATTGACAATATTTAAATTGCATAAATTTTTTATTCTTTTTTTTTTTTACTCTTACTTTCATTGCTAGCCATAAAATCTTCTTGTTTTGAGTAGGAATGTCCTTCCACCGAGCAAATTGCATAGGTGTATGCTGCCTAAGGATGGTGGAGGCCTCAGTTTTAAAATCAGCAGCATGGTCACCAACTATTCGACGCTGATAAGGATGAATTACGATGTCCAACTTTTTATTTGGAGCTTTTCGTATTTTTTTCCGGACCGAGATTCCTTTTGTAATACCTCTTCCCTTTTTCTGTGATGCACCTACATCAAATTCATAGAAAAATAATATGAACAATAAGATTGGATTAAGATAAATGAAATAGCAACTAGAGTCGCTAATATAACCATTGTCATCATTGTTTGTTATCTCGACATGAGATGTGTTGTTATATGATTTATAACAACGATGTAACACGTGATTAAGATGAGAATTATGAATGATTTGGACGTAAAGCATGTAGAAATAACTCAACAATGGCCCCGGTCCGAGGTGAACCAAGGTGAAGAGCCGTGATGGGCTTTTGCGTGTTGCATAATGATGTTTTTTCAGTTCGGAGAGAGATCCCCCTACAAATGTCATAGGGTTGCTATTTATAGTAACTATTTGGCGAATACATTGGGATTTGCGTACTACTTTTTGTATAAAGTAGCTTTTGGTGGGCGGTTTGGAGCAGTGGGTCCCACATGAATGATGACGAATCTCGTAGAGCGTCATGGTTGTGCGTAGGCGCTTTGTCACCTGCTTGAGGAGGTGACGAGGTGACGACCTCGGTGTAAGTAGACCTCGGTGGATATTGGTCACTTCGGTCTTTGGTAATGTAGACCGGTTCTTTGTGTGAGTCGGTACGGTTTCGGATCACGTCGGTTCAACAGGTAATTGCACTTAACAAGATGTTTAAACCCTCTTAATGGTGTTTTACCGAGTCAGATGATAACAGAGAGACCTGTTGCACTTAACAAGATGTTTAAACCCTCTTAATGGTGTTTTACCGAGTCGGATGATAACAGAGAGACCTGTTGCACTTAACAAGATGTTTA